AGGATCTTTGAAACCAGGGGGTTGCACCATGAAGACAGGTTCATCAAGATGACCATTGAGGAAAGCTGTTTTGAAATCAACTTCACATCCCTTCCAAGACTTGGATGCCAGGAGACTGCAAATTAGGCAGAGAGTAGAGATGGCCCTGTGCCATCCGGATATCCCCTCTGTTTTTCAGCGGAATGGGAAATAGGCATCTGCATCCGCACCTGCTGGCGGGTATCCGCCAGCGGATAATGGGTATCCGCAACAGATACCCTTTGACCATCTCTAGTGGAGAGTGGGAACAGAAACTTCCTGATAATTGACTCCCTGGATTTGAGAATAACCCATGGCAACCAGAAGTGCCTTCAGTTTGAGGATGGATTTGTCAGGGTAACATTTCACCTTAAAACCCATTTTGACTTGATTATCTTGCGTTTTGAAGGTCTGGGAACAAGGCACCAGTTATCCCTTCCAAGGAGGTAAGAGAATTCCTCATCTGCAGCCTTGAGACATTGAGCTTTATGTGGGGGTTTTGAAGCTGATGCCATGTTTTTGGAGTATCAACATAATCTAACAAGATGTTAACAGATTTAGACCAATTTCCATAGCGCTCAGGTGCCTTTTGAACACCTCCAGAGGACCTGACGGGTGGGGAAGGAGGACAAGAGATTGGAAGGGGAATTGAGATGGGGTCGGAAGGATCCTGAGGACTGGAAGGCGGTGGGGAGGGAAGACGAGGAATTGAAAGTGAGGGAGGAAGTTGAGCCTTTGCCGGAGCAGGAAGAGTAAAAGACAGAGGGATTTCCAAAATGGGACGTAGGAAAGGCAAAGGAAGAGGGATAGGAGAGGACCAGAAGACTTACTACCATCTTCAGAATTACTGGACACCAAGAGTGAGGAATGGGAGGGACTGGGTTCCTAAATTGCATGAACGACGGACGGAGAGGAAGAGGAGAAAGAGGAGGAGCCGGTGAAGGAAGACAAGCAGGAAGAGTGGTAGTAGCGGGAGCGGGCCACAGTACCTCCAGATAGATAGTTGGAGTTGGACTTATCAGCTTGTGATAGTAGGGGTAAGCTTGACTGTTGAAAAGAGTATCACACGTTTTGATTGCCTTCTTAATCACAAGATCCCATACACGGAAACTGTTACCATCCTCAAGATACACATCATCCCTGACATGATTTCCCAGATGGGAAATCTTGTAAATTTTAGGGAAATCCTGTAAAGAATTAAAGATTTTTCCAGATTTTTTTATTTTTTTTCTGAATTTTTTAGATTTTCCCGATGTTTTCAGATTTTTCCAGACTTTTTAGATTTTTCTAGATTTTTTAGATTTTTCCAGATTTTTGGGATTTTTTCAGATTTTTTAGATTTTTCCAATTTTTTAGAAATTTTCTAATTTTTCCAGATTTTTTAGATCTTTATTTAGATTTTTTCAGATTGTTTGGACTTGTTAATTTTTCTCAACTTTATAGATGTCTCTTGCAAAAAAAATCTGGAAAAATCTGAAAAATTTAGAAAAATATAAAAAATCTGAAAAAATATATACAATCTGGAAAAATCTAAAAAAAATTAGAAAACTCTAAAAATCTGGAAAAATCTTTAATTTTTTTTACAGGATTTCCCTAAAATTTACAAGATTTCCCATCTGGGAAATCATGTCAGGGATAATGTGATAGGAAAGAAAAATTGCAGCATGAGCTTTTGAGTTGCGTCCAGGACCTTGTTCCAGACCAGACAGCCAAAGGGGTGAAGACTTGTAAAATCAACAGAAGGGCGGCCTAGGATAGGATTTGGTGAATGGAATCCGGAGGGAGTATTGCATGGAATGGAATTGAAAGAGTGGAAGATGTGATGCATGGCGTCTGCCCAGAAATTTTTTGGGAGTTTGGCTGTGAGAAGAGAACAGCAAATGAGATTGCCCATGGTGTGATTGGTCCTTTTGGCAACACCATTGAGGGTAGGGGAGTGAGGAGGGCCGGGCTCATGATGAATTCCAGAGGAGAGAAGAAAGGACTCAAAACCCTTTGAAAAGTATTCACCTCCATTGCCTGAGCGAAGAGCAAGAATTTGAAATTTTCCATCTTCCTCAAAGAAGGCTTTGAAGATTTTGAAACAGGGAAAGACGTCTGATTTGCATTTCATGGGAAAAATGTAAACACATTTTGAACAATCGTCCATGAAAGCTACAAAGTATTTGTATTTCTCACAAGAGGTGACCTCAAAGGAGCCAACATCAGAATGGATAAGCTGGCCAGGAAAAGCAGACCAATAAGAGAGACAATATTTAACAGAAACATGACACACTTTGGATTGCACACAGATTGGGCACTGTGTGACATTGATGTGGTTGGCCATGGTAGAGACTATGCCGGCCAGATGAAGAAGGATCTTGAGAGGTTTCAGACCTATGTGAGATAGCCAGACGTGATAATCCAGGAGTGAGCCACCATGAGGAGAAGATGGAACTGAAATGAAGGAGGAAGACTTTACCTTGCCAGATGGAAGATAGAATTAATTTCCTTTACGGTACCCACAACCAACAATGGAACCTGAGGTGGTAGGTTGGTGGAGTAATATGTATTGCAGGATTCCTTGGTGAAGACAGCAACTAAGCCTTTATTGCACATCCCCGCCATGGAGAGAAGGGTTTTGTGAAGACCAGGAACAAACAAGGCAGGGACCGTCTTGTCCATGGTTAGAGGGAGAGACAGACTGCTGCAAGAGGTGGAAAAGACTTTGGAGCTGTCTGCGAGGCGGACTGTTGTGGATTCGGGGAGAGAATGAATGACGGTGGACTCATCAGGGGTCATAGAGATTGAACAGCCTGAATCAATGTTCACATTGGTTGTGGCAGTGTTCATGTGCAAAAAGGAAGTGTGACAGACTACTACTAGAGATGGTCAATGGGTATCTGTTGCGGATAACCGCTATCCGCTGGCGGATAGGTGTGGTGTGGTAGTCAAAAATGTGAAAAATTCAAATTTTTTTCTATTTTCTTTTTCTTATATATATGTTTCTCTATATTATCATTCATGCCCCATCAGAAATCACCCTACACACCTCAAGACCTGGATTCTATGGACTGTTGAGGTACTCACATTCAGTCTAGACCTCATTATTCATTATTACTATGCTTCATACATGTCACATACATTTCACTGTCATTTCACATATGTTGTAGTACACCTGAGACAGTGGTTGTGGAAGAACTCTTTCCTCATCCTTCCACGAACCGCTCCACTCACTCACATCGTGTCCGCTGCTCTCAGGTGTGTTTTCATTCCGTTTCTTCTTTCTTTCTTTCTTTTCTCTTTTCTTTTGTTTTTCTCTTTCTTTCTTCTGAAGTGTGAAATGATAACAATCCTTCCACAAACCGCTCCACTCACTCACATCGTGTCCGCTGCTCTCACCTCTGTTTTGCTTATCATGGACAATTTCATTGCTGGTCACCACAGAGGCATCACTGGAACAAACCTGGATCAACAATTACCCCACAATGGACAACATATCACAAGGATTTCACACATCAAGTACATGTCACCAATCACAATTACAACCCTCAAGCTACACAGACACCATCAGTACAGTACATCCCCACAATTACATACACACTCATTTACATACAGCTATTTCTCTGTCACTGCTACATATGACATCATACCTGCAGCCTAAATTAGTTTATTTTCCTTGCATGACAGCTGCATCTTACACCACCACATTTACTTGTAAACACCACATAACCTGACCAATCAGAATCACTCTTTCAGCTGTTTGGATCACCACTTCAACTCTTGTACATATTTGACCAATCACATTCACTCATTCAACTTCTGTACGTAGCTCAACACCCTCATGTAATAGCCCAGGCCAGCCAAAATCACTCATTACTGGCTACCCTGGAGCTAAATTCCCTCATTATTGTCTATATAAGGAGGCTCTCCTGGGCGTTGATAAACGCACTCCTCCCCCCTCCCCGCATGCCCACACCCCCGCCCCTTTTGGAGGGGTGTGCAATCGAACCCGCCCCTCAGGGAGGGGCGGGTTTGATTGTGCGCCCCTCGGAATCCTGTTTTCGAGGGAAAACAGGATTCCGAGGGGCGGGCA